TTTTTTTTTTCCATGAAGAAAAAATGTGAAAAAAAAGTGTGATGATGTCAAAATTACCGTATAGTAATATCATTTATTCCTTTTAAAGGAAATGTCGTGATGAAGCAAAATTAGCATAATTAAACTTTTTGCTAACATCTTCATAATATCGAATATCAAATAACCGTTTAAATAAACCTATCAATTTAATAAGAACTTCATGCGGTATAGGTTGGTACTGAATGAACTTATGACAACTTATAAGCTATTAAATTTTATAACTTTTAAAACATTTTAGGAAATAATTAATTACTTATATTCAACAAATTATAAGACAAATTAGATGTGCGAAAAATTTACTGGAATAGGATTAGCAAATTGTGATATTGCTGGATTGTTTAGATATAACTGTTGTTGCATACTATGAATGAGAGCTGGCAAAGCATTCGGGAAATCTATCGGGAAACGATCAGAATCAACGGATAATTGCTCTTGACCATCATCCGACGACTGTAATATAGTAAATACAATTATTTAAGATTTGAAACTAACCTATCAATTGTCAATTTGAATGCTATTCTGTATAAATAAGTTGATTAAATTTAAATTTAATCGTTTTATTTCATCAAACATTTTTATGATAGAATTTCAAGCAATATGTTATGTTAAATACAAATACTAATTTAAAAGGTATTTCTACAACAATTTAATTGTTTAAAAAAATGGATTAAATAGTACGATAATAATTATCCGGTAAATTATCAGGTTATCATTCTTCCCTGACCGAATACAAAAAATGATTGACAGAAAAGTTACGAGTTTAAGAGGAATAATGGTGGTGACGGAAGAAGTGTTACAGATTAGTTATCTAAAAAAGCGCATATCAGTGAAATTAAATATTTCAGTTCGAACTAAGTCCTCAGTAAATTAAATTAACAATGTTTGCAAATTCTTCCCATCAAGCTGCCCGTATCATTTATATTGCAATTCATACTATAATGAATTAAATAAATATAAACTGTGTAAAATTATAATAAGCAAATAAAGTTTTACTTTCATTCAAAAATGAATATTTTTAACATAAATAGAAATAATTGTTCACTCATTAATGAGCAAATCAGATGCTTATTGATCGGATTATGATATGATCAATTAACGATTAATTATGCCAATAAATTACTTCCAAGAAGAAGGCGAAGAAAAAAAAGAAATATTCAGATTGTTCTCAAAATTCTTTTTAATGAATTTTTCACTTTTCCTCACTTTTATATTTCCCTTTTTTTTACACAAATAATTTTCCCTCATTCATTAATTTAATCAACGCTAATCAAATCCTTTAATGCTTTGCTTCTTTTTTTTCCAATCACAAAAATCCTTAATGATTTTAGTTAATTCTTCCATTTTCAGCAAATATTTCAACTTTTCCAGTGATTCAAACTAATTAATTTAAACTAACTCCTAAATTTTCATTTCTAATCATTAACAATATTCAATACATTATATGTGCAAATTACACGCAAACTATGTGTAAGTAACATGAAGGACATATGCAAACTATGTTATGTGCAGACGTAAACTAATGTAAATTACGTGAAGGATAAACGCAAACTGTATGAAAGATTTAGATCAAATCGTACAATTATCAATCATAATTTCAGTCATAGTTAAATAAAATTATTCCTTCTTCCCTTGAATATTTATTGCCAATTTTTCATTCCCATTTTATACAAAATATTGAAAATTGAAAAAAAAAAAGAAAAATGATTTCTCTGTAAAGTAATATTTTTCAAATTAATGGATATGTGAACAAAAATAAAAAATAAAAATAAAAAATGATAGCATTTATATTTGAAGAATGGACGGATAGATGGATGGATTGAAAGGAAAGAAAGAGAGAAGAGAGAGAGGGAGAGAGGGAGAAAAAAAAAACAGAAATGAAAGAAATTAGAAAACGCATGGTGAAAATTGCTTGTCAATAATGATGCATAGCATGTGATTGATAACGTTAAGCTTAACAGTATGCTAAATAATTGTATAAAACAGATGGAATTTTAATTTTATTTAAGATTAGAATCTAAATTTTAGATGTAAAAGAGTCAAAATTGTATGGTTTAAGCAAAATTTTAATCTTAAATTTAAATTAAAATTAGAAAATAGGATGAATTACAGGAAGATGATAAGTTGCTAACCTGATTAGTGATAGTTGTTGTAGTAGCAGTGGTAGCGATAGTGGTGGTAGTACCATCTGATGATATATTACTACCAGGTAATTGTGATGCAGCTGCCATTATACTTTGAATATAATGCTGCATCATTTCTTGACATTGTAAACTTTGCATTACATAATTACCGGTTTGTAATGGATTACTTCGATAATCGGCATTTTCCGGACCGGTTAATTGAGAAGCTTCAATTGTACCACTGCTACCACCTAATAATGTTGCACTTACAGGAGCAGGTTGTTGTGGCATAAATTGTGTCATGAACGGATTAGCGAAAAATGATGGCATCGAATTCGGTATCATTGATACCGAATTATTCACTGAAAAATATTATAAAATTTTATGGAAATTTAATTTAAATTTTTTAACGATAAAAAAATGAAATATAATTTTTTTTCCGAAGGTAATAAGTTAGCAAAATAAAATGAAAAAGTTTTTCTCAATAAATTTGTTCATAGTAATTACCATAAAATTATAATGTTTGTTATCTTTTTAAATAATTATTAAAATGAAGGAGACGAGTGGGAAAAGTTTTTTTTTTTTAACTTTTTCATTTTATTTTCAAAAATTTCCTTCTCTTATCAGTTAACCTTTCCTTCCTCTTCATTATCACTTTCCTTCCTATCATTCGATCATATCATAATTACTCAATCTTTTCATCCTCTCCTATCTTTTCATAATTTATTCATTCTTTCTTAGAGCGGAAAATTCTAATTTATAAGCAATATTTGTTAGAGTTAAGAAGGAAAAAGCTACTCTGCTCAAAAATGAAGAAAAAAACCCAAACAATTATTTTTTCCACTCTCTCTCTCGCTTCCTCTCTCTTTCTCTCTCTTTTTTTTTCACTTTTAATCATCTATTTTTTATTCTCTTCTCATTGTCATTTCTTTTTTGTTTCTAAACAGAAAGAAAAGAAAAATAAAATTTTAAACCAAAAAATGTTAATGAAATAATCAGTAATTGCACACTTACATTGAAATCACTGAGATGCTCAATTTCACTCTCAAAAAAACCCAATAATTACTTTTACAAGAATTTCTTCGATTTTTAAAATTTTTTATAAAAAACTGAAACTTCACATACATATACACACATTCACATACACACATACACATACACATACACATACACATACACAT